CACATCCCCCCTAAAATTCCCACAGCCCTGATCTAAGGGAAGTAACTTGACTGATCTGCTCTGCAGGGCTCTAAGGCCTGGCTTCTGTATAAACTTTCTTTTAGAGAGCTCAGGGGAAAAGCAAGCATTCCTTCAGAGAGGGAGTTGAAGAGATGGCAGCAAACCCAAATAGTGTAAGCACATCAAGCAGACAGCCTGTGCATCCCAGTTCCCCCTTCCCTGAAGTTCCACTCTAGACTTTTCCCTGTCTCTTAATTTTTAATAGGTTTCAGGATGGCATCCTTCTTTCTGGTTACATCTAGGCCCTCCCACAGGCCAGGCAAGCACTGTCCTATTGAGTCTCTCCCCAGTCCTCATCATGACATTCTCTATCATTCTACTTGCTTCACACTGTCCCCTCACAGGCCTCTTTTACTTTCAACCACCCCCCCGCCCAATCCAGGTCTTCCCATGCACCCCTCTTCAGCGTGACTCTCTACCAGCTCTGTGGGCCCTGCCCCAGGCTTAAAGGTTACCCTGCTGGACAAAGTGTATAGGATCCCAATCTTCAAGGAGACAACATTCATTTTGGGGGGGAAGGCACTAAACCAAAGAAATAAAACAGATGTTACAAGTGCTAATCATTCATTTGACAAACATTTACTCAGTCTCCTGTGCCTGAGGTGGGAATTTCTGGACTTAGGCACATGACTGCCTCATGAGATTAAGAATGAAGGAGCTGTGGGGCTAGAGAGCTGGTTCAGAAAGAGTACTGACTGCTCTTGCAGAGGACCCAAGTTCAGTTCCCAGCATCCACGTGGTGGCTAACAACGATCCATCAACCCCAGTTCCAGGGCTCTGACACCTTCTCCTGACCTTCAGTCATTGAATGAACGGGTGCACTTACACACACATGCAGGCAATACATTCATACACATTAAAAAAAAAATTAAAGAATTAAGCAGCAATGGAGGCAACAGCTTCCACAGGCTGCTCAGCTTTAAAGAGGCAAGGGAGACTGTACAATAAAAGGACTAAAATGCTAACTGCTGCCCTGTACATTTTATACAACAGAAAGCTGGCTGCAGTGGGGTATACCTACAAGCATCTGGGAGGCAGAAATATTGCTGAGTTCAAGCCTGCCTGGGTTACATAGTAAGGTTTTATCTCAAAAAGCAAAAGAACAAAGAGGTAAGCCCTATAAGGCTCAGAAGTCAGCATTATAAGCACCTAAACAGGAACATGACAAAAAACTTTTTTTCGTGACAGCTTCTCATTATGGAGCCCAGGCTACCCTTACTTAGGCTTGAGATCCTCCAGCCTCAGCCAAAGAGGAAAGGAGTGCTGGGATTATGGAGGTGAGACCTCTCTTGACTCTTGTGTTTGTTTTGGGGGTAGTCAGGCTAGGGCAACTACTATACCACCATCAAGCTTTAAGAACACTCCAGCCAATTCCAGCAAGCACACCTAACAATCTCACTTCCTTCTGGCTGGATATGAAAGACTAAGCACTTGCAGGCTGTGTTGCCATTACAAATGTAAACTCAGTGTTATTCTGTACTTATCAGGAAGCTCAGAAAGACATTCTAGCAGCTGGGTATGATGGCACATGGCTGTAATCCCAGTACTTCAAAGGCAGAGGCAGGAGGATCACTGCAAGCTCCTGGCTAGCCTGGCCTACATTTATAGATTTTCAAGCCAGCCAGGGGCACACAGCTGAGACCCTGCCTCAAAAGAACAAAACAAGCAACTAAACAACAACAAAGGATAATTTAGGAGATTACAAAACAAAGTCCATTCAAGAGCTAGTACAATCAACTCTCAATTTGCTAGAGAACAATACATTCCCTGGCCCTTGTTCCATGCTGAGGCTGGGGCTGTGGAAGTAATCGGGACAACTGCAAAGCTATAAAACACAAAGACAAACAGGCTTATGTCCTTCTATAGGGACACATGGGAGGCTGGAGAGAGGATCATGGTGAAGAGTTTGAGGCTAGCCTGGGCCACACAGTGAAACCCTGCCCCAAAGCTTTTAAAAAAAAGATGCTGTTGGAGAAGGTAGACCGCGTCAAACCAGGCTTGGGTCACAGCTGTTCCTTGTGCCTATCATTCTGGAGCTTCACAGTTGAGACACACTGCCGGTCAAGGTGTTCTGGACTAGGAGAAAGGTCCACCACACAAAAGACACTGTACAAGCCAGGCTTTCCAGTATGTGCTGAGCCTCTGCCAGGCTTAAGCACCGCACAGCAGACTTGCTGATACGAACCTAACTTGAACAATGAAAAGCTGGTTAGTAAGGAACATCTGGTCAGCTCTGCCATATTGCTCAAGTTCAGATGCCAACAGCTGAGCCTCCTGCAGAGTTCTGCTCAGGCATAAACCCACCGACAGGGCTTTTTTGCCTGGGATTCTCCTGCCTCAGGCTCCTGGTAGCTGGATTATAGGTTCACACAACCAGGCCTGGCTTCACTAACAGATTAAAAAAAAATTATGTATTATTATTTCATGTGTATGAGTATACTGCTTGCATGCTTACGTGTAAGTACACCCATGGTAGCCGGGCATGGTGGCGCACACCTTTAATCCCAGCACTTGGGAAGCAGAAGCAGGTGGATCTTTGTTGAGTTCAAGGCTAGTCTGGTCTACATAGTGAGTTCCAGGACAGCTGGGGCTAGAGAGACCCTGTCTCAAAAAGACGGAAAAAAAGTACACGTGTGTTGTGCAATGCCCATGAAGGTCAGGAAGGAGTTGGATGCCCTGGAACTGGAGTTAATGAATGATTGTTAGCCACCATGTGGGTTAACTGGAAATTGAACCCAGGTCCTGTCCAAGAGCAGTCAGTCAGTGCTCTTAAGTGCTGAGCCATCTTTACAGTCCCTCACCAAGAGATTTTTAAAAAAAACTTTAAAGAAACTAGAGCTGGGCCAAGCATGGTGGCACATGCCTTTAATCCCAGTACTTGGAAGGCAGACGCAGGCCTCTGTGAGAGCCTGGTCTACATAGTGAGTTCCAGGACAGCTGGGGCTACAGGGAGAACCTGTCTCAAAAAGACCAAACAACAACAACAACAACAACCCCCCCCCCACACACACACAAAAAACCAACGAAAAAAAAGAAACAAAACTAGAGCTGGAAGGCAGGTGTGGTGGTACATTCCTATAATCCCAGTTTGCCTTCTGGTGCCGGGGAGGCAAGGCTTGTGGATCTCTGAGTTCGAGGTCAATCAGGAGTACAAGGTAAGATCTTGTTTCAAATCCTCCCTTGCAAAAGACTCCTCTAAATTTTTTTTTTAAAAATTGGTGAAGAAAAAATAAAACCTAGTTACTTTCAACAGAAATGAAGTATAAATTTGATGTCCAGAAAGTTACCCCAAAGGCATTGTTAACATTTCATCCAACACCTATTTCCATTTTATTAGCACATAAAATAATCATTGGAATGCAAGTGGCTCCACCTTACCTTAACTTCCTACTTTCCAGGATACCTGGTCCTCTCCTACACCAAAACAAACCTCTGACTCATTCCCAAACCCAGCTATTTAGAAGTAGAAGTGATCATCCTTCACCTAACAAAAGATGCTACAAAGATTGCAACTGGGAGACAGGATACCTCTCAGTAGACCTATTGATAGACTGTCCTGGGAAAGCCAGCTTTTCTGTAAAGAGGATGCAAAGGCCAAGTGTCCTTGACAAATGAATAAGATGCTCAAATAGCCTGCTTTATAAAAATTCTGCAAGCAGTCATATGCACTTATTTTGCTATTTTTTAAAACCAAGTAGTTTAGGGGGCTGGAGAGATGGCTCAGCAGTTAAGAGCACTGACTGCTCTTGCAGAAGACCTGGGTTCGATTCCCAGCACCCACATGGCGGCTACGAACCGTCCTTAACTCCAGTTCCAGGGGAATCAGACGCCCTCTTCTGACCTCCTTGGCATTGCACGACACGGGTGCACTCACATACATGCAGGCAATATACTCATACACATAAAATTAACAACAACAACCCAAGTAGTTTAAGTGTGTTTAGTTATATAGTAGTACTGGGGATTGAACCTAGGACCTCAGGAACGCTAAGCAATAGCTGTTACTAACACAACCTCAGACAGCAACATGTATATCTCAAAACAACAAAAATCAGTTGTTGGTTTTTGGAATTAAACATCAGGAGCGTTCTCCTCAACAGTACAGAGTTGTTATTGCTGATGCATTTTTTTTTTCTTTCAAAGAGGGTACTTTTATCTCACACACGGATACATACACACACATATAGTGTGGTCTGCATGCTGTTTTTTTCCCTTTTAAAGAGGGTACTTTATCATACATATAGAGACACATGTATGGTGTGGGCTGCATTTGACGAGAATAAGAACGAGGCTACATGCGATTCTCTCTCCAGGTCAGTGAGAAACTAGTTAGAAATAAACAATCTTCCGCCAGCAAGTACTAACACCCGCCAGTAAGGAATTCTGAACTCAAGAAGATAATAAGCACCCCCCCACACCTTACGGTGTAACTGTTTTACGCTTCCCTGCCTGTCTTCGCCAATCAAGCCCCGAAGTGGAAGGGAATCGCCCTTCTCGTAGCACGGCGACCTCATCCGGTCCGCGGGCCTCACGTAGAAGTGACCCGGGGACCCTGCGGCGCACACTGGCAGCAGAGACGGTGGAGAGGCCGGGGCGGGATAGGCCGCGCCGGAGCCTGATGCGGACAGAGCTGGCACCCGGCGCAGGTTCCCCGGCAAACTCCGGTGTCGCTGCGTCCTAACCTAGGGACCGAGACCCCGCCATGTACCCCGACGGACCCGGCGGGGAGCCGAGGAAGGAATGCACGCCGCGAGCAAGAACCCGGCAGCCCAACCGCCGCCCGCCGCTCCGGGAGCGCGCCATTTCCAGGACTCTCTCCTGAGGCCTACTCAGGCCGCTTCCCGTCGCCCGCCTCGAGTGAGAAACAGCAAGGCCGCGGCCACCTCAGGACCTCCCGGCACTTCGCCGGGCGGACCCGACAACCCGCCAGCCCGCCTCACCCTCTACCGCCGCCGAAGCTGCTGTAGGCCCGATCGTCGTATGCATCGAAGTCCGCCATTTGCAGTCTCCGCTCAGTGAGGAACCTGCGGGCCAGCGAGGAAGGACCCCTCAATATAACTCCTCCCCACCCTCCACCCGCCCCGCTCCTGGGGTTGTCCGCCGCGCTGCCTGATCGCAAATCGCACGCACGCATGCGCGCGCCGCCGCGCTGGCCTTGGGCCCGACGGGGCCCGCTGCTGGCCCCCGCGCGCTCTGAAGCCCACGTGGTGTGACGGCCAGCCCCCTCGAGCGCCTCGCGCATGCTCAGCGCGCCGAGGCCCATTGTGTGCTGGCCTAGTGGTTGCACGCGCGGTCACCTCCTACTGTCCTGCCCCGCCCTACCTTGTGGTCCGCTCCCTGGGAGGCTCCCTCCCCGCTGGCCGATTGCTAACCCTACACACTGCTTTCTATTGTCACTTAATTCATTCTGGGTTTTGAGACAGGGTCTTCTGGAGCTCAACGGTGCTGTGTAGCTGGGGATGACCTTGAACTCTTGCGTTTGCTGTCCCGTCCTCCCAACGGCTGGAATGACAGGTGTGCCCCACGATCTTGGGCTCTCTGATGTTACCTTAAATTATGAATCCTAGGTCTGTTTTGCCTTGCTGGGTAAAATTCACATGCTCTAGGTATTGGGAAGAGGTGATGGAGATGAGGGTATGGATTGTCAGTGAACAAGTATGAGAGTGGGTATATTTCCCATTTTCAGATGTCTCTGCTCAGATAAAGAATCCTCAGGGGCAGGCAAGATGGCTCAGTGGGTAAGGGTGCTTGCCACCAAACCTGACCAGAGTTCAAATCTCATGATCCACATGGTAGAAATAGAGAACAGACTCATGTAAATTGTTTTTGACCTCCACATGTGCACTATGACCCCTCCCACACACATAATTTATTTTTTTAAAAAGAGGGGGTTGGAGACAGGGCTCAGTGGTTAAGAGCACTGGCTGCTCTTCCAGAGGACCTTGGTTTGATTCCCAGCACCCACATGGTGGCTAACAACCATCCATAACTCCAGTTTCAGGAGATCCAACACCCTTTTCTGACATGGGTGCACTTACATAAGTGCAGGCAATATACACATAAAATAAAAATAATTAAAAAAAAAGAATCCTCAGGCCAGAGGATCCTCAGCTTAGTTTGGTGCTTGCTATGCAAGCATGAGGGCCTGAGTTTAATCCCCAGGAACCAGGTAAAAAGCTGGGTGTGGTGACATGAGCTCTTGATCTCAGCCCTGGGGAGCTGCAGACTGGCAGATCCCTGGGGCTCAATGGCCAGTCAGCCTAGCCTTCTTGGCAAGCTCCTGGCTAGGGAGAGACTCTATTCTCAAAAACCAAGGTGAGGGGGCCTGGAGAGATGGCTCAGCAGTTAAGAGCACTGGCTGCTCTTGTAGAGGACCTGGGTTCTATTCCCAGCACCCACATGATGGCTAACAACCTTCTGTAACTCCAGTTCCAGGGGAATCTGACACCCTCTTCTGGCCTCCTTGGGCATTGCATGACACGGATGCAGTTATACATATGCAGGCAATATACTCATATCCATAAAATTAAAAAAATAAATATTTAAAAAAACAGAACAAGGTGAGGGCCAAGGAGATGGATTAGTAAAGCACTTGCCTTGCAAGCCTGAGGACCTGAGTTCAAGTCCCTGAGTCCATATAAAGCTGGATGGGATAGGACATGTCTGTAATCTCAGCAGTCCTATGGTGAGATGGGAGGCAGAGACAGGAGAATCCTGGGAATCCTTGGTGCCAGCTAGCTGGAGTACACAGGTGTGATGAAACCCTGCCTCAAAGTGGAAGGCAAGGATTGAGTCTGACCTCCACACACACAGTGGTTCACATGTGTCTGTACCCACTCACAAAGGAGTTTCTCTCTCTCTCTCTCTCTCTCTCTCTCTCTCTCTCTCTCTCTCTCTCTCTCTCACACACACACACACACACACACACACAGAGATCAAACAAAACACTAAGGAAGCTGGAGAGATGGCTCAGCAGTTAAGACCACTTGCTGCTCTTGCAGAGGACTCAGGTTCACTTCCTAGTACCCACATCAGGTGGCTCACAAACACCTGTAACTACTGCTCTAGGGGCTCTGACTCCCTCTTCTGGCCACTGCAGACACCTGAACTCACTTGTGCCCATACAGACAGGTGGACACACATACATATAAAATAAATCTTTTGGGAAAAAAGCAAGCTAAGGTGGATCACTTCTGAGGAATGACACTTAAGATTAATCTCTGAACTCCACAAGCATGCATAGTCTAACCATGGCTAGTCTGGAACTCGATATCTAGACCAGGCTGGCCTCATGCTTACAGAGAGTCACCTGCCTCTGCCTCCCAAGTGCTGGGATTAAAGGTGTGTGCCCCCACACCTGGCTTGCATGCATCTTCTGTGACAGCAGGGAATGGCTATGCAGTAAGAATTAATGACATTGGGTTTTTCTTGAGCTTGTGATGAGGAGTGTGGTATTATTGGAGTCTCTGGGGTATTTTAGGGACAATTTAAAAGAGCCCCATACAGCAGAGCTTGGTAGCACAAGCCTTTAATTCCAGCACTCCAGAGGCAGAAGCAGGTGAATCACAGAGTTCAAGGCCAGCCTGGTCTACATAATGAGTTCCAGGCCAGCTGGGGCTATAGGGAGACCCTGTTTCAATAATAAAAATAAAAGAACTCCTTGAGCTGGGTGTGGTGTTGCACACCTGTAGTCCCAGCACTTGGGAGGCAGAGGCAGGTGGATCTCTGTGAGTTCAAGGCCAGCCTGGTCTACACAGTGAGTTCCAGGACAGCTGGGGCTACAGGGAGACCCTGCTTCAAAAAGACAAAAAACAAAACAAAACAAAACAAAACAAAAAACTCCATAGACTCTCCGTGAGTTTGAGATCAGTGTATTCTACATAGGGAGCTCCAGATCAATTGGGGCTAAAAAGAAAAGAAAAGAAAAACAGACTCCCATAGAAATGCAGGCCTGGGAAAGGCTGGCATGGGGTGGTATGCCTAAAATTCCAGCAATTAAGATGCTGAAGCAGAATGACTGCTATAGGTTTGAGGCCAGCCTGGGCTACAGAGTGAATTCTAGTCAGCCTGGGTCACAGAGGGAGGATCTGTCTCAACAAACCAAAATGGAATATAAAAATAAAAAACAAAAAGGGGCTGGAGAGATGGCTGACTGGTTAAGAACACTAGCTGCTCTTGCAGAGGACCCAGGTTCAGTTCCCAGCACCCACATGGCAGCTAACAACTTTCTAACTCCAGTTCCAGGGGATCTGATGCTCTTTTCTGACCTCCAGGGGCATTGCACACACACGGTTCACTTGCATACATGCAGGCCAAATCCCATATACATAAAATAAACATAAATAAACTTTAAAAAAAGTTTTTTTTTGGAGGCTACTCCCTGTAGCCACTGCTGGGCTAGAACCACTATGGAGATAAGGCTGGCCTCGATCTCACAGAGATTCACCCACCTCTGCCTTCCAAGTGCTAAGATTAAAGGTATGTGCCACCATGCCTAGCTCCTCAAAAAGTTTGTTTTTAATTTAAAAACCTATTAAAAGAAAAAAAAAAGAAAAACAAAAACCCAAACAAAACCTATTATAAGAACTTCATAGATTAAAAACATTAAAAAAATACACATATATTATTTATTGTTACATGCACTGGCTTCTTCAATTACATGTTGAAAGATGAAACTGAAAGAAAAATGAATGGATATCTCCATTTTCAAATAAAATGACCTATGAATTAGTATTTTATGCTTTATGACCTCAAATGGACATTATTCATAAAATATACTTTCATAAACCTTAAAGCATCATAGCAATTACTGGAGTAATGAACACTTTTCTTACCTTTTTTTTTCTTAGTGTCACTATAATGAATGAAGTATTTCTTCTTTATTCTGTAAAGTTAGTCAATGCAATTGATTTTCTTTTTCTGTTTATTTCTTTCTTAATTTCTCCTTTGACCCCCCCCACACTAATTGTTTAGTTGTTCAATTGCCATTAGTTCATGTAGTGATTAGGGCTTAACCTTAAATTAAAAGCATCATAGCAATTACTGTAGCAATGAACATTTTTCTTACCTTTTTTTCCTTAGTCTCACTATAATTAATGAATCTTCTTTATTCTGTAGTCAATGCAATTGATTTTTTTTCTTTTTTCTTTTCTTTTTCTTTTTTTTGAGAGGGTCTCACATAGCCCAGACTAATCTTAAACTCCTGTCTCTCCTGCTGGTTTCCTGAATACTAGGGTTACAGCATCACTATGTCTAGTTTGCAATTGTTTTTTTTTTTCCCCTTTTTTTGAGGCAGGGTCTCCCTGTAGCCCCTGCTGTCCTGGAACTCATCAGGTAGACCAGGCTGGCCTCGAACTCACAGAGATCCGCCTGCCTCTGCCCCCAAAGTGCTGGGACTAAAGGTGTGGGCCACCAAGCCTGGCCTACAATTGATTTTTTATTCTATACATGGTGGTGCATGCCTTTAATCCCAGCACTCAGGAGGCAGAGGCAGGTGGATCTCTGTGAGTTCAAGGCCAGCCTGGTCTACATAGTGAGTTCCAGGACAGCTGGGGCTACAGGGTGACCCTGTCTCAAAAAGATAAAAAAAAAAAATTCAATTTTATCTCTTATAGGGTTTATAACTAGTACAATAATGTATAACTTTATTAATTCAACACTGTGAACCTAAAAATTACAGGCCAATTTTTGAAAAAGATGCATCTTTGCTCTGGAAACTGTTACTGACTATGCCAATGCTTTTGTAATGAAATGCTTCTACTAATTATATGGTTATTAAATTAAGAAAATACTGAAACACACAAAGTTGGCTAATAGGAGTAGGAAAAAAAATTCTAGTACTTAATTTAACACTTTATTTATATATTTATTTGTGACAGGGTCTCCTGTAGCCCAGGCTGGTCTCAAATTTACTATGTGGCCCAAGATGACCTTAAACTTTCTTTTTAAATATTTTTTTATTATTTTTATTTTATGTGTATTTGTGTATTGCCTGCATGTGTGTAAGTGCACCTGTGTGTGGAGGTCAGAAGAGGGCATGGGATCCCCTGGAACTGGAGTTACCAATGGTTGTTAGCTGCCATGTG